TTTTGTTTTCAGCCTCTTCGAAACAAATAAAACATTTTTGAGAAGAGGGGTTGCCTTGCCTTGTCATTACCTTGCCCGACTTTGGTAACCTCAGCTTCCTTGAGTTGCTGTTTGTTTGTAACCTGTGATTGCCTGAGTGCAGTTTTATGCCTTGGTGAATCATACAAGCTTTTCATTCATAGATGCAGCTTGAAACACTTTGCCCACTCATGGTTAATGGGTAAAGGAGCTGAGGGAGGTGTAAGTGTGTGTGGAGTAAAGTTTACAGGGAGTCCAGTTGCTTACAGGCTCCAGCAATCAGTTCCTTAGGTCTGAAAACCTTGCTATTGCCCTGCTCTGTGTTCCAGCTGCTCTTCAAGCTGACTTTTTGTCCAAGCCTCCTCCTTGGCAGGAGAGGTTGCAGGTTGGCTTGTGATGGCACAGGTACAGCGGGTATGGAGGGGGATTAGACTGGGCAAGGGGACAGCCTGGCCGCTCTGTGATGTGTATTAACAGCAGAAGTTGCTGACCTGTGTGGTCAGGGAAGGCCGTGGGAGGAGCGATCAGCGCTAGCGCCTGCAGAGCAGCGCACACCGTGTGCTCTGCTGGGGGGTGAGCTCAGGTTCCTGGTTGTTTTTAGGACAATAAAACCCAAGATGCATCAAAAGCAGAAACAGAAGAGCAGGTTCAAACAGTTCCAGGTCACCAATGTAACAGGACTGCCTTTTGTTGTGGATAAACTCGGTCAAAAACACCTGGAAGTTTAAATGCAGCAGTATCTGCTGGTGGAGCAGTGTGTGACCACAGCCAGTCTTTGTCAGCTCCCTGCTGTAGAGAAAACTGAAGCTTAAATAGCAGTCTCTCCTTCCATAGCAGAGGTAGGCCAGGTCCCCACGACTGCTCTAGTGCACTAAAGCAGCATGGTGGGGTCTCTGGTGGCGTGCTCTGCTGCTGGTGGAAAAGGGCTCCTGGTTACCTGAGCTGCTGCAAACTGAACAGGCCTGGGGGCCTGGAGGAGCTGTGGGGAGGCACCTGGCTGTGCTCCTGGCTTTGCTTGGCGTGTTATGGCCGTGGGGTCATTGGTTCTTGCTAGGCTTTGAGATTGATTGATTTTTAATTACATGTGCATGGCTCATTCTAGGCTTTTTCATCGGTACAGTGGAATAGATCCAACTATTGTATAGAAAGGTTGTGTGTTTGGTTTTTGTTTGGTGTGTGGTTTGGTTTTTTTTGGGGGGAGGGGGGTTGGTTTTGTTTTGGTTTTTCCCAGTTTGTAGCCTTTAGCTGTCCCTCAGCTGGCACAGAGCACTTGGTGCAGGGTGTGCAGCCAGCACCACTCCCTGTTCCAGCCCCAAAGCAGCTTTGTCTGCCTCCGAACCCCAGGTGTGGGCCCAGACTGTGCCCAGCCAGGGCCTGCAGCAGTGGTTACCGGAACAGGGGGGCAGGTGCCAAGGTCTGCTGGTCCCCGGCTCCTGCGGCCTCCTCCAGCATCTCCCAGGAGCCACAACCTTCTCCAGGTCCTTTCTCTTTTAGCAGGGCAGGATGCTGGTGGAGGAGGAGGGGGGCTGGTGGGGTTTCTTTGCTGTGGCGTGGGTTTGGGGGCCAGAAGGGTCCTTTATTTTCATTTATGTCTTTTGCTAGGTTGTTTTCCGCTCGCCCAGTGAATGAATTGGATTATTCGCCCCGTGTTCCCTTACTGTACTGGGATGAATCAAATCCCTCCAAAGGCAAAAGCTGGATCAAGAGTTGGATTTGTTAGCTCACTTACATTGCCCACCCACATCTCAGGCTGTGCCGTGCTGTTTATTCTTGGCTGTTGCTAGGAGAGCACAATTTTTTGGAGGTAGATGCAGAGGCTTGTTACAGTCGTTTTTTGGGACTCTCGAGTAAGCCGGTACCTTCTGTGTACAAGAGCTCCCTGCCCTCCCCAACCCCCTAACACTCAGCACGGCGTGCGGTGGTCAAGCTGACAGGGGATTGATGCAGGGTTCTTGGTAATCAAAAGGCTCAGTAAATAAATGTTTGTTTTACTCCACCAGTTTCTGGATTATTTTAGTTTTGTTACAATTCTGATCATGCATCATAGGACTGCAACAATGAGCTTTAAATAAGTATTCTTTGTGCACAGTAAAATAGAAATAAATGAACATTGAACAAGTTAGCATTTCATCAGATACATCAGAGAGTAGGCACAATAGATAAATCAAGCAGCTTGGATGTTATGTAGAGCATTTTCATGAAGAATGTCATGTAGACCAAAATGTAAGAGGAGCTATTAGTAACCCGCCCACACCCCCTCCAACCAGCCCTTCACTGGGGTAAGGGGGTGGGCATGTGCACAAAACCAAAAACACTGAGCAGTAGGAGGACAAATTAAGTTACTGTAGGCAGCAGTGTGAATATTAAAAACCTCTTCCTGTGAAAGAATACTTCAGACCCTGTAAAAACTGGTTCAGTTAAAAATAGATGTATTTACATTTAAGTCTGATCTAGCAAGTTTTCCCAGCAGGTGTAAGTTAAGATGTACAGTAACGCTGCAGGTTGTACTCAATCTGACTCGGGTTGTGAATGTTTTTTTTCTTTAAAGTTGCAGCTATTAGGCCTTAAAGCACCAGCGGTGGGATGAGTGAATGTCTTCATTGGCTCTGCTACTGCTACGCTGCTGGGATGAATCCCAAACCTGTCGTTAGATCACACTATCCTTAACTAAGATGGTTTTATTTCCAGCTGAAGATGCGTGGGTCATTTCCCAGGGCGAGATTGTTTTCCCAGATACTCACACGTGTCTCACCTCTACCCCTCTCACCAGTGAAATACTCGAGGGCAGAACTGAGCTGTAGGTGTTTGCAGCTGGCTGCTGCTCTAGTGAACTACTTGGACAAATGCACCTGGTTTAGTTCATATGATCATGCCTTGTTCTTGTGAAGCCACTTACGCTACTTGTTCAGGGAATCACAGCTATTGAGATGCTAAATATCGCCAGGGTGAGCTCTTTGGGAAGCTTTGACGCCTATGGACTACACAGCCTGCAATGCTGGGGGCAATGGTAGGAGGGCCGAGAGTTACTCTAGAGAGAAGGAAGCGGTCATTTCACCATGCCAGTCAAGATAGTTATTTGTTTTATTTGGTTATTGTTTAACAACAAAGTTCAATACTTTCCAGGTGGAGCGTTGAACTGTCCCTCGGGTTCCCTCCCTTGTCAATAATAAAAAGGTAATGAAGAAAAATCCTGTACGTTTAGAGACCTAAAACCTCATTGATGCTAACAAGCTTCAATTGCAATTTAATGTTACAATATTTCTTCATGGGAGCGAGGAGGACGAAGCCGAGGCCCCTCCAGTGTCTGAAGATGGCTGTCCACAACCACCATTAAAACAAAAAGCTAGTGTTGAAAAACGCACAGTTTACAATAAAAAAGTAGAAACCAATTCATTTCCCTTTTGTTACGAATATAAAGTTTCTTGTAAATATGTACAGTCCTTTGAGCTATTTCTATAGCAGGAAGCATTTCACGAACAAGACACAAGATATACACTTTCAGGACTCAACAAGCCCGTTTCTGAGGTCTTGAAGATCTTCCATGAGATGCAAAGATTGAAAGACTGATCTCGGTGACCTTTCAAAATATTCAGACCAGGAGACAAAAACCATCAGCAAGTTTCCTGCCAAATCATCTGATCTAAACCAACCCAACAGACAAGAGAACGGAATACAATATTCATGAAACTCGCCAAAGGACACTGACAAGGCAATTGAATTTTTAGGGGTTTCTAGAACAGGTTAGCACAGGCTTGCAAGGGACTAGCAGAAGTTTAAGAGTGGCCAAGGGAAGATTGGATGCAGTTTTGCTCTTTCCAGTCGTAAAGAACATGGTTGTTCATTTAGAATGGTGCTATTGCAGACTGAATGGTCAAAACCTGCTTTGAAAATCATTTGCTCTCCGCTTCATGTTCACAGCAAAAGAGAATAGGAAGCAATAAATGGCTCGAGGTTAGATACGCAGAAGCGAAGGCGAAGGCGTGTTCAGTAACTGCTAAAGCTGTTCACTGTGAGTATCCTCTTGTGCCGTGACCCTTGGTTCTTATTGTACGACAAGTTACAGGTCACGGGAGAGCCAGCCCTGGGCTGCTCTCCTCTGGGGCCTCGAGACTGTCAGGACCACGGTGTCGCTTCTGAACGGGCCACGCTCAGTGCTGAGAGGAGAACACAAGTGTGACTGTAATTCTTGTCATAGAATAAGGCTTGTTAACTCTTCGTTGCCAAATTTCCAGAGTAATTAACAGTTATTTTGCAGCGTAATCTAAAGGTTTCAGTTAATTTACAAGTGAGGTACAATACACTACTCAGCAAAGCAACCTAAAAGGAGAGAGCAGCCAGTGATGGTGCAGCAGCATGCAGTGAACTGTCATGCAGAAGACCTGGATAAAGTCTTACACCCCAGTAGCTTATAGGTAACGCACTTTGTCTCAGGGCCGGGCACACGGGATCGCTTAAAGCAGGGTTCTTCCCTCCCCATCAGAGCTGCTCTAGAGCAATTTTCTTGAGAACAAAATAACTTTCAGAAGTGGCAGGTGAACAGACTAATCAGAAGGAATTTTTCTTGTGTTCTGTAGAGAATATCCAATCCCACCTTCTATTGAAAGACTCACTCACCTTGGCCCTTCTGTTTCCAGGCCATCAGCATTCCCAGCACATCTCAGAACTACGCTCAGTTATCTGGTAAGTGGTGCTAACCACACTAAAGACCTGGGGTGGGACTCTAGTCCCATTTTAATTTCCTTGATGAACTACTAGGGACTAAAGTGAATACAAAAAGTTCATGAACTGCTTGAAAGAGTAACAGTAGTACAAAGTGCAAAAACAGGAGTGCAGGAAAGTGCAGAGAAATTAACTGAGATGCGAACAATCTTCAAAAGCATCACGCCTCCCGATGCGGAGCTAGCTTTGGCCCAGCAATGCTGTTTCGGTAACTGGGCAGGAGACGTATGGAGTGCATATACTCAGTACATTTCCTTTGTTTTCCTGCAGGTCAAGATGAGTAACTTTGTCTAGCTGAGACTTACACTGAAGACTGGTCCCAGACCTGGCAGGGAAATAAGATGACAGTTTTAAGTCACAGGTATTATTCTGACACAGGCACAGGTGCCAGCAGCAGTACATCACCTAACTCCTGCTGCTACTGCTGAGCCAGTGCTGCGTGCTTCTAGGTGACACACTTCTTAAAGCACCGACAAAGGCAGTACTAGCAGCATTGCTCTGAACACAGCAGGCTCCCACGTTCCTTTCTCCAGACATTGTCCCCCTTCGAGTCCTCAATAACTTCGTTTCTGTTGGTAAATGCACCTTTGCTTTCACATCTGGAGGACTTTAGCCCATTCCAGTCACACAGCTTTTGCAGTGACAGGACTATTACAAAGGAAGGTGATCACAGGGTGAGTGAGTTACAGTGTTTTTGTTCTGCTTTAATAGGAGTTGGGGGGCGGGGGGAGGATTATATTTGATTTGCTCTCGTACTTTACAGTACCATCAGCCCTTCTGCAGCCCATGCCTTTTCCTAAGAACAGGAGAGTTGTCTGGGCCCCGAACTTACCTTATTGACTTGAGCAAGAGGAGTTCTGGCACCACTCACAGGCATTCGGCCTCGGCTGCTCTCGTCGAACAGTCTGCCAGGGGACCTTTCTCTGCGGGTGCTCAGAAGCCGGCCTGGAGATTTCTCCCTCTCCAGTGGTCGCCCAGGTGACTTGTCCCTCCGCAGCTCCGTCCTTCCCTCGCGGTACCGATGTGGTGTGCTTGGTTCTCGAGGGTGGCTTGGACCTTCCGGTGGTCCTGGGCTTGATGCTACCCGCTTGGTTATGTGCTCGTTGTATGTGGGCGGACCTCTCTTGTTAGGGCTGCTGTCATTCAAAAATAATGGACGCGAACAGCTGAGCGACAAAAACCTCACGTTACATTTTCTTTCAGCCAAAAAATGTAACTTTCCCCAGACACCCAGCAGTGTTCAGGTGAAAAAGCACCAGACCTCCCTGAGCCAAGGCGAAAAGTCCAAAGATATTTTCATTGCTGACTACCTGGTACATGAGCGACACTAATAAAGTGCCTTCATGAATTGCTATGCAATGGGTCTCAAACGTACTCGTTTTCATAGATTGAAGCAGTAGACTTTTCCATATAAAAGTACACTAGAACTTGATATAGGCCTTTTCCCACACAAAATGTTCAGTAGCTCCAGGTTAGGATGAGCTACAAGCCTCAATCTCAGTTTCCAATGCACAGTGGCACTATGAAGACTCCGGTATTTATTCACCTGTCTGAGGTATCACTGTTTGCTGAACAGAACAGGATCACATCACAGCTCCCCAGCCTGCTCATTATTTAAGAGGAAGGGGCTCTTGCTTTAGCAACTGTTACAACCAATCGATGTTTAGTGTCACATCGACAGCATCTAAACTCACCAAGCTTTGAGCCACAGCTGTATCACACCATAAAAGTAAACCAGCTGAAGATCACAAAGCATTTGTGGAGGAGATTACCCACATATTCCCGCAAAGTTCATGTTTCTTTGCCTTCTGGATTTTAAAACATCAGTGACTCCACTGTTCCAGCATTACAACAACTGGCTAATGCCAGCATCTGTCTCTCAGAATGGAACAAGGGCATCCAAAATTTAGGGGGAAAAAGCCATCTGGAGCAAATTTTGCTTACGAGATGCACAAGGACCGTAACAGACAGGCTCCATCATACCTGCGTGTAGCAGAAGATCCTCTGTGGTGCTGCTCATTGTTGGTCTCCTTCACTAGATTCCCCTTACAGCAAATCACCCTTAATTTGTCCTGGTAGGAGGAGGCCAAGTAGATAGCGCCCGATGAAATTGCAGGCCCTAGATACCGTGGGTTTGGTATCTCCAAGTGGGCTCGTGCAGGAGTTCTGAGTAAAATTGCAGGAAAAAGCCTTTATGATGACAACACTGTACCTTTTTTGGGGGAGTACACATATTCTTGCAGTACAGGATGTTCAAAGTAATGACAAGAGCACAACTTACCCCAGAGAAGCTCGTGCCTGAATCTCAATGACTTCAAGGGAATTGAAATGGGTCACAAACAGATAGGGCTCCCTGTAGGCTGAAGGAGCATCACAGAGGGAGGAAAGAAAACCACAGAATTCTCTGTTAAAAAACTTCTAAAAAGCATCAGTGAGCACAGCAGAGCCTCACAGACCCTTGGGAAAACTAAGGGAATATATTTTCTGCAATAAGACATAGACACTATTACTAAATAAGGAGATGCAAGCTTAAAGAATTGTTGCTTTGAAACTATCTGCATCTCAAGAATTTGACTAACCAAAGTATCACGAAAAAGGCATTGACAGCAGACTATTAACTGAACCAAGTCCCATTAGGCAGTGCAGAAGGCCTGAGGGAACCACACTGACATTAGCTACTCCTGATTATTCCAGAGGCTTCCAAGCATCATTAAAAATTCCACTCTCCAGTTAGGCACATTAAAGAAAGAACTTAGGTTTAGTTTTCCCTTCAGCAGGTCCACCACTTGGATTTAGAATGACCTTAAATCACGGGAAAATCTCCTTAGTTTCTGGGAGAACTGGGAGAGGGAAGAGGGAGCGGAAGCGCCGAGTGAAGAGTACCTGTCCCACAGGGATGCTTCCTGGTTTCAGTGATTTCCATAATGCAAGTGAATGTCCCTCAACACCTACCAAAAGCCAAGGGCAAGCGATTCCATTTCAGGTCATCTGTCCTACTGCGTCTTCCATAGGAATCCACAAAGACACCAAACTCTGCCAAGAAAAGTAGTGTCATGTCATGAGCATGTATCTCAACTTTATTCATTTATTTTTGAAGGGACGAAGGCCCTGGGCTTTTTAGCAGGGGCAGGGGCTTACTAACTTGCAAGTCCTAGAGTGCCATGAATTACTTTAATTGACATTGAACTGGCTGGATGTAGGAGTATTTTCAGTACCAAAAAATACTGCAATTCTAGGTGCCTCTACACCAATTAGGGCAAGGATATCATTTAATCTACACTTGTGAAGACTGCGAGACTCCAACTGTTTCTCACCCAAGATTACTGCTAGTGGGCTTTTGAAGACTTGGTGCATTTCCATGACACCATCCTAGAGGGCCAACAAGAGCAGCTATATGAAAAAATAACACTCTCTTATTTCATCATGAGGAGATTAAAAAGTCTCATCTGTCTGAACGGAATCCAGTCAAGAATGCCACAGTCTGAAAACCCCTTAACACTTTATCAGGAGAATCAAACACCTGTTTGCAGTTAACATCAACTGCACCCCCTTCCCTTTAGGCACAGGAGCCCATGCCTGGCAACTGATCCAGACAGAGCCAGAAGCAAGCTGACCAAAAGCATCTCAGCAATGTTATTTTAGTGCAAATGCCCTGAACACCAGCCACGACTCTGCCAGAGGCTTTTAGACTCACAGGCTTCTACAAATACTCATTACCAGGTACTAGAAAGGCAAAACTCTGTTCAGCTTTCCTTTACAATGGTACTTAGGTACCTTCTTGGCAGTTCACGGACCAGAGAGCAGGTGTAGTGCAACAACTGCACAACCATACAGCGCTTACCATGGAAACACAGCAGATACTCCTCCCTCTGCCCCGTTGGGTTCACTTGGATGATGCTGACTGGAAAACTGTTGGTGGAAGCAGCAAACACAGCAGAGGCCAAAGTGTGGTCATTTTTATCCAGAAACTCTGCAAAGACAGTGGAGAAAACCAGCTTGATCAGCACCAACTCTTTTTCCCCACCAAATGAATCTGTGGAGCCACTTGGGGTGTTCCTCAGGAAACATCTCCTACCCTCCAGCGTATACTGCTTCATCTCAATTTCATAGAACTTGTTGGTTCCAATGATGATGCTGTAAGAGGTCAAATGGATGCAGCTGCAAGGCTCAGAGGTTTCGATCTCCTGGAAAAGAGGAAAGTATGGGCCAGTATTAGTTCCCTAGAACAGTTTACAGATTCTGCTTATTCTGGAAGATTATATATTGCCACATGTATCATTATAAAAGGGAAGATGGCAACCTAAAAGTCACTACAGTCTCTCAAAAGCATATGGAAAAGTACTCTTGCTAGAAAAAAGAAGTTTTGTCTTGTTGGAAGTGATACTTGCTTGAATACAGACTTGCATATCAACTCAACTCCAGGTGCTAACCCCAGTAAGAGCCTCTTCCTTTTGGAAGAATACACTATTCGAGAAGGTCTTCTGCTCTGCAGCTCAGTTTACTGGAGCAGCAGGGAGTTGCTCCCTATTTACAACAGGTCAGAGCCACGCCAGTGCCTGCACATCTGAGCAGTGTCTGGAGATGAGGTAAGACCAGTTAGGGTTGAATACCAAACTTAGCACTAGGAAGTCTCTCCGTCTAAACTGCCCCAGGTCCAGAGTAGCTGTGCTGGAACAACCACTTCCTAGCCTGGAAGTCACCGGGAATCAAGGCAGCTGCTAAAAAGGCAGACAGAAGATCCTAAGACAACTGCAGCGGGACTGACCCCAGTGAAGTCCCAAACTCTTCATAACCCACAGAGCAGAACTTGTGTCAGCAGGCACGTCCGTCACCGTGTCCATCACAGCAGATGGAATCAGCTCCCTAAAGCATCTCTGCTGTTATCACCTAAGAAATTAGCTTGCTTGATCCTTAAGCAAAAAGAAGACAAACCTACACAATCTTCCTTCCTTTTGTACAACATGACACAGATGTGTTGTTCACCAAGATCTGCACTGCGACTGAACAGCTAGGATAGCTCTGCAGGGTAGCCTGACACAACACAGATCCTCAGATCTCCTGAGGACAAGATTCCTTGCATAATTCCTAGTTTATCTGGAAATCTAGTTGGCAGAACAGAAGAGTATATTCTGGGCTTGCTGCCACCTTGTTAGGATCTAAATTCAGTTGTCTGGATTAGTGAAGATAAGGAAAACCTGCCTTCCAAAACACGCCTTTGCATGTTTTGCATGAAAGCCCTTGTTAAGAAGGCACTTGGCACTGTGGAGCTGAATGGCAGCACGAGCAGAGGACAGTGACTGTACATCTGCAGGGTGTCCTGCCGGCTGCTGCTCCATTGTAAGCAAGAGTTGGTATCAGCTACAGTGCTTTTAGACGTTCCAGCTCTGCTGCCATCCACATTGTTTATGCCAAGATCTCCTCCACGAAACGTGTCTTTACTTTCAAGGAGGCCAGCATCTGAATGACTGTGCCGACTCCACCTCCATACAGCAGTGCCAGTGTAGCACTCAGTGGGGATAAAAGCATCAGTCAAGCTGTAAATTGCCTTCAAAGGAACCTGCAGAAGCTCACAGGGGTATGTTGTCTGACCTGAACATCCCTTAATTTGCAAATTGGAGAGGAGATGAGTTTCTGGATACCAGCCCATTTTAAGGCAGGCAGTGTTTAAACTCTCTGTTCTGAGGAGAGATCCCTAATATTTTGGGTTTTTTTTGAGGTGTGTACGAGCATATCAAATTTATTTGACAATTCACTGGACTTGTCTTCAAGACAATCTGCCTGCAGTTGGCTGGCTGAAGAAGAGCTGTGGTAGTTCTGCTTTTCGTACCCACGCGTGGCCGAAGGAGGCAGTACGCACACCAGTACCGTACAGTGCTGGTGCTGCAGGGTTACATACAGGGGAGGTGTGTACACAGCCACACAAGATCCACACCGTACTGCCTTGTTTGCTGCCCAGGAGAAAGTACACGTACATCTGGGTGAGCATGGGAAACAGCTGCCTGTCCTGTGAGCCAGTAACACCAAATACCCTTTGGCTTTCACTGGTACAGTAAACTAATTCAGATACCCATTGCTTCCTTAGGCACAAAGGAGAGAGAGGGGTTTGTTATGGGTTTCTCCAAAGACCACAGAAGTGAGGGAAGACTGCTGGAGAACTAAGAAGAAAGTATTTTTTTGGTAAACAAGCAAGGGTATGATTACAGCTGAGTCCAGTATCTCAAAAAAATCACAGTTCTGTTCTGTAGCTCTCCAAATATGCCAGCTCTTATTAAAGGAAATTGCTGCCTACTCCTATTTTAGTCAGCGCACGTTGCAATTTGTTATCATTTTAGCTGGCAAACAAATGTTCTTATGCATGGAAAAAGGTTTAAGATGTTTGCTCCAAAGCAATACGTGAGTTACCTTAGCTACTGAAGGGAATTACTAAGCTTACCTTTCTGATACAGAACTTGCTCAAGCTCTCATTGTATCGCAGAACCACCACTTTATTGGGCATGGCTGCACAGATACAAAGACCATTCTCAACCTGTAAGGAAGATGACAAGCATAGTTCAGGATGGTAATACAGAGTAAATTCTAATGCTGAGCTTGTGAAACGGATCTGAGTACCTCTTCCCACAGAAAGAGCTTTGCAGAGATAAGCACGTACATTTTTAATACGGTAGTTGTTGTGAATTAGTAAAATAATTAAAAGTCTCCTCGCATTCTCAAAAGTGAACGTGAATTTGAACTGCTTCTATGATTTCTTTTATACTTGAAAGAAGTTAATAAAAAATTTGAAGGTTTTCCACAAAAAATGTCACATTAAAATGGATAAGAAATTCAAATAGGTCAGGTCTAAATTGTAAACCCTGCAACTGTTATCTTAAACAACACTTTGAAATGAACGGTGTTCAGTTTGTGATCCAAGTAGTCTGAAGAAGTAATTGTTAATGAGAACTTTTGCTGTGGCTAAGTGTTCCGTACTAAAACTGGGAGTTAATGTAAATATCAAGCGTTATCAGGTGACGCAAACATCTAAGTAAATTTGCTGGCCTGGAAGCTGTTACATGACATTCAAGAGCAAACAGTGGATGGAATTCACTAATTACAAATCTCAAAATTGAAGTCAGCTGTGAGGAGGCAGTTATACTACGCTGTGCTGTACTTCTTCTTATGTAGCAGTTTAGGCTGTACCATCATGTCATCTTGACTGAGTTTATTCATACTAGTTGATCCTCCATGCTGTCTCCAGCTCCTTTCTTCAGCCCCTATACTCTTTGTATTTGAAGAAAGATTTAAAATGAGAATATAGACCTTGGATTTGTTGCCAGTGAAATATAGATGTTGATTTCATTAATATTAAAGTCAGTGCAGTCAAAAGGGTGCTCTGGAGGTTACGAGGGTGCTGTACCCTACCTTGCCAGCAGCAAAAAGGTGACATCCTTTGACAGCCTCAAAGACATTTGGTGAGACGTCGGGCTGGGCTGGGAGGTGAGACTGGGCTAGAGATTGCTTCACTTTCTTTACATCAACAAGACACAGAGCCCTTTCTTCTCCTGGAAACAAAAACGGTTACATTTTGTCAAGGGAAATCTCCCTATTCTCTACAGAAGTCTGTGCTGTTACCTAAGCAGCAGCTTATCATCACAGGCTGTTACTGTGGTAACAGTCACCAGGTACCACGTAGAATTCATTCCATATTATTTCTATTGAAAGTGAAACAGAAAACTTACAAAAACCCATCCACACAACAGGCAGTAAATCCACTGGGAGAAAACCATTCTCTCTGTGGGTTATTAGTGTTGCTACGGTCTGGTAGATCACAACAGTGGGCTCATTAGGACACTATTCAAAATTAGGCAGGAAGTTTTATTTTACCCTGCAGAACTTTTTAAAGCACCAGGCGCTTTAGCCTCTCTGTGCCAACAGAGCTGGCAATGGATTACTGAGAAGTGCCCTAATAAATTGCATTATAGACCAAGCCCGATTCCCCTCAGAAGTCTAGCAACACCGTAACATAGCCTTCTCCTAATTTTGTGTGAGGCTTTATTTTTCCAATTGCTTTTCTTCCTCTACTACCCTGAAACAAATAAAGCACAGACAGCTTAAATCTTTACAAGGGGGAAAATTCAGAACAAACAGAACAAGAGAGAGAATTTGTTTTTCATTCCCTACAAAATGTCAGATAGACACTTGATAATTTGGGCTTTCAGATGAAGATACGCCCTAACGTTCAGCATGCCTACATCAGTGTAGGAAGGATTATCTCTGGAAAACCACAGATGGAGAGATTAAAGACAGTGTTCCTTTCGTAAGGGAATCTTAAATCATGAAAGAAGTAGCAATTTTGTTACATGGATTAGTGTTTAGAGCAAGAGAGGTTAGGAGCTGTTGGCCCTAGGCCACAGCGGTCACATCATAGCCCTCAAACTGTTAATTACATTGAAAAGAAAGGTTATGTAGTGATTGGGAAGAGATGCTCACTGATCAGCTCAACCCTTTAAACTGAACTTAAAATAATGACTAAACCCTAAGCTGGAAATGTTTTGTCTCTGGTTCCTCACTCCCCCAGCTTTGAAAACTGAAAGATCACTTTCATGTGAAGGTTTACCTGAGCCTTCATTCACATATTCATTTGCAAGAAAACCTCAGACAACACTGCGTTAACCACAGTTATTGATTCCTGCCAATATACTGATAAAAAAATGAAAAAAGCCTGTAAACGGACCTGAAGGAAAACCTGGCCCTTTGGCACTGTAGTACTCCTAGCAGTGCAGAGCAACCACCACACATTTACTGCAGGACAAATGGTAACACATGGCCCTCTACCTGCTATCATGAGTAGCTTCTCCAGATCCTTGATGAGGTGAATTTGGAAGACAGCACCCATTCCTGGGATGTGCGTTAAGGAATTCTTCAGTACATTCAGAGCATAGAGACCTTCTTCTGCACCCACCAGTACCACCTGCAGTGACAACAGGAGGAAAACAAAAGCAGCACTACATGAGGAGAACAAGGAGTGCTCCCGGAGCAAACCTGACAATGCTGTTTACCAGTGAAGAGAAAACACAAGCCAACAAACAAGTCTATAATTGCACGTGTTGCCATTAAGATACCATTTCCATGAATGAAATACCCAATACTCAAAAAGGCCCAACTGAACATTGTCGTTACCTGGTCACTGAAGGGCATTGTGCAATTTATATCCAAACGGTCTTCACCCTCCAGCTTCAGCAGAGAGTTTCCCAGCAATTTCTGCAAATGACAAATGTGGGTTTTTTGGTTGAGTTAATCTTTCTCTCTTTCTCTATTAATATTTTAACAATGTAAGATCATCATTTCAGACAGGTAAAAAGCCTAGCACAGATTTCTTTATCTCAGAAAGCTGAAAAGCGCATGGATACCACCTACAGAAGAATTAGTAAACTTTTCTCTACCTGAAATACAGCCAGGCAAACCGATCAGAATGAAACTAAACTCAGACAGAACCTATTGTTGTCTCTATTCTTTCTGTTTCCCCCAACATCCTGCAATGGAGCAGTAACATCTTCCTAAAAGGAGGACTAAAAAACGTCCAAATGTAGGTACGAGCATGTACTTTTCTCAGAGACAAAAGGAATGCTAGCTTCAGAAAAGAGAAGATTTCCTGCTGGTCAGACATTCTCTACCTCCAGAGCTGACATTCTGCTATGCGATGCCATAGAAGCAAGTCTTCCTTTATCAGAATATAGAGAGTTATGAGTGCAACACTGATGAAAAAGGCTATCCAAAACCAAAACAAATCTTTTTAACCTCTTATCCTTCTCAGGAATAAAACTTAAACTAAGAACATACACAGAACCCCTCCTTCCCAAGAAACAGAAAAACTGACTCGTAAGAATAGGAGAGGGAGCTTCTTCCTTGCTTCTCTCTCTTTCTTTCAAGGTTTGCTCATTCCATGTGGTACATTATGAGAGTGGATTTAAACCATGCCCTAACTGCTCTTTCTTCCTTTTCTGTTTGCTGGAATTACAGAGATATAACTTTGAGATCCTCTTACTACACTCCCCAGGTCTAAAGAAGGGTGTTATAATGTAAAGAGTCAAGTCTCACAATGAACTAATTTCCTGGTACTCATATTGTACACCATAAGGCAGAAGTAGTAACTTACCTTCAGTTAAACCTCAGCATGTCAAATACCGAAAAATTATTTTTCAAAACTCTGCTCCCTCCCAGAATATTTTATGATTAAATGAAACTTTTATACTCACAGCATCAGCCTCAGCTTTTTCTCTGGAAACTCTCCCACCTGCCACTACTGATTCCAGTGCTGTGACCCAGCGCTGTTTGTCAGGGAAGCTGGGTGCTAACAGGTAGAGTGTTCTACCAGGCCAGCAAGTGGTGTGTGGATGAGACTCCAATTTTAGGATATATGGCACATCTGAGATGTTATATAGATAGAATAAGACTTAGATTAGTTTTTGGAATATTGTCAGTGGACTTAAAATCAACACCTTTCAGCCTCATTGGAGAGAAGTTGTATTTATCATGACGTGTTACCATGGCAATTTATACATAGGTTTCTCCTTTACAGGTCCTGCACACGCTATCTACTTAAAGCTCAATATTAGCTGAACGTATGCAATCCATACATACAATGCTGCCTCTACTAAATAAAAATTATTTCTTGCCTTTTGATTAAAAGAGAAAGAAACACCATTGTGGAAAAAAAAAGTACAAAACCAGCCACTTGACTAAAGTTTTCCCTGTACTGTTCAAGAAAAATCTGTAAAAATTGGTTATGGAAACCTTTGTTTTTAACAATCTGTATCCTTTAATGTTAAAGTCAAGACATACATAATCTTTTCATCAGTTCTATTCAATACATACAAATCAAAACAACAACATTTTTTCATAGTAAGCGACTGTACACACCCCACAGTATTTCTAAGTTAATGAATTTCTGGTTAGAGCACAATGGTGGCATGAATTATGACACTTCACACTTGATAGAGAGCGCTGAGAGAAGAAATTTAAATAAACCGAGTGCTTTTAAGGATTTTACAAAACTCTTAAAATTTACTTCCATTTGGCTTGATGATTATATTATTCACAGTTCAACTACTCCGACAGAAACAACCACCCATGTGTAACTAAATCTAGACGACTGACCTATTCATCTAACTCAGATAGAGGTAACCTCAAAATTACACAGTTACAGAGTGAAAGTTAAACGGAGAAAATTCTGTTCAGCCACACAGAATGCCAACTGATGGCAAGCCAGATGAAATCCATTTCACCTCATCTACATAAGATTCTCACCTGTCTTTGCTGTATTGGTAAGTTCAGAGGCTCCTACAGCTCCATGAACAGTTACATCGCCATCAGGAAGGCAGAGCTCAAATTCCTCCAGGGGCCTCTGTCCAGCTGCAGGGAGAGTGGGGAGACAGGTTAAGAAAGAAGAACAAATAAGTAAGTAGCAAGAAAATAATTGCGAGAGCACAATGAAGCGGATACACACTGCATTATTGTGACATACCAGCTAGTCAAACTGTTAAGGATCTAGAAAAACAACTTTGCCTTATTACAAAAAAAATTAGCTAGATTAGGTATAGCCACAGCAAACAGTAACAATTCTTGAAGCCTCACAACTCACCAAACAATACCTGAAGATTAAAAAAAATGTTCTTCTTAGAAATGCTAAGTTACCTTCTCTCGCTTCTGCATCATAAATGAGCACTTTCGTTCCCTCCAGGACAATATACTTCCTGTCCCAGCCCTGTTGCCCGCGTTTATTATTCCTGAAGAAAATAAGCACAAAGCCATGTTGGATTTTCTGCTTGGATTCTGAATAAAACAAGCATGCAACTCCTAGAAACACAAATTACAGTGATAATAAATAACTGTAATGGGCACATACTGAATATCACATTCTAAGAGCCAGAATAATACTGGGAACTGTTCCAAATGTTTCAGCACCTGATACGGCACCAAGATTCATGTTTATACCTTGGCACTTTCATCCATCCCTCAAGACGTAGACTGCTGCTTGGCTCCTTCAGCTGCAGACCAGGAGAATTCATTTTATCCCGGCAGAATGCTTCAGAGAAGTGCGTGGCATATTCTGCTGGCAGTCCACAAGTAGCTGGCAAGCAAGTTGAGCATTTTGGGTGACACATCACCTGGCATTCTGACAAAAGGACAGAGGAAAAACTTCTGTTAAATGACAAAAAAATCATGACACAGCTGTCTCAACTTCTAATGTACAAACTCAGCTTTTCCAAGAATCTCCTTCTACTCTAAAGCATCAAATGTTTTCTAACGTAGGATGTTTGCACCAACTAGTTTCCAAGTCCTCATACTTGGTCCTTTCTTCAGCTTTCACTGAAAATCTGTTGTAGATTGTTGATGCCTTTTCATTCTACCGCCCAGTTACACTGTGGTCACGCACACACTCTGCGCTTACCAAGACATTTAGATGCTTGCCGTCCAAAGTGCACAGTATCAAGACACACCGCACATTTTGTTGCTCTCATATTTAGCCCCACGTTAAAACGATGTGGAATATTATGATGCATTCGCTCTTTCAGGCGTCGGCTGTACTCTGGAAGGGACAATATTTATTATCAGGATGAAAACTGTGATAGGGATGAAAATTATATTAGGTTATGGCCTTTTAAGGCCAAGGGAATAAAAAGTGACTTCATATTGCTGTCAAAGCCCCCCTGAACATAGACACTGCTTTCCTTTGCAATATGCAAATCTTAAGCTACATTAACACCTCAGTAATTACCTTATACAGATGCATAAAATGTGCTGCTTGAGAACAGACTGTATAACTGAAATGGCTGATGTTTGGTGTAGCAAGATTGTGTCGATCAAACCACCTAAATTTCAAGCCTCCAGTCTGCTCCAATTCTTGTGCTAAACTAATCTCTCAATTTTGCTCATAGCTATCAAACCCTTCACCACCTATACTGTTGTAATCAATACGCAGCAGGCTTGCTTCATGCAGCCCTCATGCTAACCATCAGTGCCAGCAGATCTTAAAGCAGACCTAAAACCCCTGTGAGTGGATCTATATGAACAGAGCTTACTGTTCAAGGCATGGTCTTTCACTGATAAACACGATTCTCTTCCCTGCCCATGATCTGCCTTCGGGACATGTTCCCACATCAACATTACCCATCTTCACAGCACCCTGTGCCTCTCCAGCTCTCTGTGATGGCTGGACAAGTTTGTGGGCTCTGGATTTTTCCAGCTGGAGGTTTAAAGGCTGGAGGCTTTAGGTCAGAGTCTTGGAGTTCAACATTCACTCTGGAATCCTTTCATTTTTTCTGATGATCCTCACCTCTCCATTCTCCACGATATCAAAGGGTATCCCCTTTTTCTAGTTAATAGGATACCAATATCATCTTTGACCTGGTATCTTCTTTTATGCCTAGCCAAAGTCTTTTCCCTTTACTAAAAGGTCTTGATAGAATCTTTCTGCTCAGCAGAACAAATCTGAAGTTTAGGTAAGTAAAAACATTAACTGCTAAGGGAACAGCCATAAATCCTTTTGATCACAGAAAATGACACCAAGAACCTACCCTCTGGCGTGGAGGATTCCTTCCTGCGACTGGAGGGCGGGGCTAGCAAACTGATCGGAGTGGGCTGATGCTCCGGTGAGCGGACTATGGCAGACATGATGATCTGCTGCCTGGCTGTGGCTGGAGTGGATGGATGAGGGTGGTCTGATATTTTCCGATGAGCAGCTATAGACGAGATAAATGCCACTGAATAACATAACCAATATGAAACACTAGTTCACAGCAGTGGTTCTGTGCAACCGTTCAGCGGTTACAACTCACAGAAAAATGTGTACCCCTACTGCATCTTCACAGCAGTAGATAAGAATTAAACACCGTATGTTACTGCTATAGTGGCACACAATTAAAGGCACATTTTCAGATGAAAAACGTGCGTCTCCTTCCAGATTCACCTTTTCTGTTAACCCCTACCTTCTTCACGAGCAGATCTGAGTTCAATGCGTGTTTTCTGTAGAGCCTCCTCCAGCTCAGCAGAACGAGCCTTCTCCTTCTCCAGTGCCACTTTCAGCTCATTGTATTGCAGGGGAACCTGTGTGGGTAAAGAAGGGTCCTCTTTCCGCCGACTAAACAGGCCCTAGCAACAGAAACACACAGACAACTCCTAACTCCTAGTAAAAGATGGCTTAAACTAGGCAAAGTGAAACTGCTAGTGGCAGTCCGGCCAGAGGGCCTAATGGTAATTCTGACAAGCGTAAGGATGGATTTTTAGTTCATATTGGCACTGGAGAGAAAATGTTGAGATATGGATTAATTTAAAGAGGGACGTACATTACCTGTTAGCACTCACACCTTGAGTTTCCGAAAGCATCTAAACAGAGGATCTCAAAATACGTGGTTAAAATGAAGTTAATTAATTCAAAATGACAGAATGGCTTATGACAAAGACGTGACGCAAGTCACATCATCTGACTAATCGATCCTATGCTGTAACTACAAGACAACCACTCTAGATACACAGTGTTCATACACACATACAGACTTACCATTAAAAAAATAAATTATGGTTAAAATGTCCTATTCCTACAGCCTCACTGAAGTGTAGCTACTGAGTTGTAACCCAAGTATTGTAGGCATAACAGAACTGGAAAAGCCACAAAGAACACATTCTGCCTAGTAAAGTTTGTGTTCAGTGACTCCAAATGCTCTTAAATGAGGACACATTTGTGTTACACAAAGAAAGATAAACAGAATATTATGAATACACAGCACATAACTAATCACAAAGCCATCATTTAATTCCATGCCTCTCAAACCTTTTTCACCCACCTTTTTCTTTTTCGCTGGTTGGTCCATCTTCGCCTGCAGGAAATCGATGAGTTTGGTTTGCTGAGAAATAGTGCCCTCCATTTTCACTTTTTCATGGGAATAGAGAACCTGTGAACCACACACATACATAAGAAATTTCATCTTAATAGAAAAACAGGTAACTCAATAGCAGAACAGAGCTAAAAAACAGTATAAGGAAAATGTCACACAGGAACAGTAGATCACATCTTTTAGGATGGGGAGCACAGAGTCCTGCCCACTGTTTCATCGCCCTCACCTGAATGTTTTCCAGCTGATATTCCAGGTCACTTCTTTCAGTCTTCAGAAGATCTGCTCGATCTAGAGCCTCTTGCAGACCTTGAGTTAGGCGGAAGATGTGATTCTTTTGCAGATCCATTTGCTGCTGCAGCTTTGCCTGCTGTTAGCAGGAAAACAAAGGCCAGTGTTTTGGTTGGGTTGCTTGCTTGTTTTCAAATAAAAGGTATGAAATGTTATCACTCCTTGTAAAATAAGCATCATTGTGGAACTTAAAAGTAAACAGATAGTTCTTTAAAAGCTGGAAAACTACAATATTCTAGAAGTTTTCCTTCCTTTCAGAACACATTGATTGAACAAGCACTTCTATGTAGTGTATCTGTATTCACTTATAGCAGCACCATTTCTTTCAACTGCATGTTCAAGTTATTTGCTTTTATAAGCATTTAAAAAATAGTAATTGTTAATAAGACTGCACACACAGGAAAAATTTCTCGATGCCATTTTCTCAAGCTCTCTCTAAAATCACCAGAAACCATCTCAGTATCTCGTTATTGAAAAAAAAAAAATCTTTCCTATAAACCAGGATAAACCCCTTCCTCTGTAGTCATATACGGAAAAGATGTCCAATTGCTTTCATCTTTGTCTCCAACTAACAACAGGAAAGGGCACATGATAAACTACTTCCAATTCTTTCAGGCTTTATACTGTCTCGATGAGGACGTCCTCGAGCATGAAAACCATTAATGCTCATATATTATGAAGCAAGAGCCAGAAATCTTTCACTGTGATGCATAATGGAGTTCTCAGCTCTGGGATAACTTGTCAGTACCCCAAGTACCAAAAGGCCCTAACTACTACTACTGCCCTTCCCCCAAAATCTCCCCTCACTACCCCAGGGCTGGCTGCCTGCATTCTCACTGATATGGTGCAGGTGGGTAACCCTGGATCAGACTTCTGGGAACCACGCGAAATTATGAAAAAATAGCTGTGAGAAGCCTCACCTGTGGCCTTCACACATCAGCTTCAGAGCTGTTTTTAAGCCACGGTCCTTGCACTTGGTTTGGTCAGAACTATGCTGTAAGAATGCTGTGCCTGGGCACCGACCTTGCCCTGCAGACAAGAGCCTAGGATGGGCCTCATAACTACAGGCCTCTGTAATGATGACTGGACACTGGCAGAACCTGATCACCTTCACCAAACCTGCTCTGCACTTCTTGTTCAGCTGCTGTGGGACCGTGCCTACTGGCTGCAAGGTCCCTATCCTTGCCTGACTTGCTGTCACCCTCGGCTCCCAGCTCATCTTCCTTTGACGAGTCTTTTAACTGCTCCCTGACACGGCCACACACTTTGCAAAGTTTTAAGTAAAACCAAAACCTCCAACTTTATTAACCTCCCCACTTATATAGAAGAAGGATGGACATGTAACACTACTAATTGCACAACTTTTCTCCCTCAAGGGGTGGAACCCTCTTCTGAAGTTATAACATGAAATTCTGAAGTTACCTCCTCCAGAAGCCTCTGCTTGAGCTCCCTTTCTGTCTCAAGCTTCTGTTGCAAGCTGCGTGCATTCATTTCCAACATAGCATGCTTCTTCTCCAGGTCATTGAGCTAGGCAGGTAGGGTAGATGGTCAGAATAACACTGAACACTAATAAATATAGCGTTCCACAATCTTAAAATCCAACTTCACGAAGCACACACTAAAAAATGATACAATTATCCTTTACTTTCTATAAGTAAGGAAACTTCTTCCTTACTAAGCAAGGAAACTTTACTTACTATAAGGAGGAAAACCAACCAAACAACATTTTGGTATGCCATTGCTCAGATGCAGATATCATATTATCGAAGGACTTCACTGTACATTCCAGGCATCAGAGGCTGCTTTCTGCTTTAGTCTTTTGAAAAAGGAAATCTGAAGTCCTTGGCTTGAAGGTAGAATTCTATTCTATGACCTCCAGTCTTTTTAATTTGCTCTAACATCTTGGAAGAGCTGCTCAAAACCGTATTTCTGCCAGTAATACCTCTACAAAAGTATCTCATCTAATTATGAAAGTCTAGGGTTGAAAGTTACTTACCTTATCAGAAAGGCTCTCAGCTTTGAGTTTTTGTTCCTTTAGTGCTTGCTGGAGGGCTAGAATCTCTGCCTTGTGTTCTTTGACAGCCAGTTCTACCACCTGGCGAGATTCAGTAATACGCTGATCTGCTCTCACTCTGTATTAAAATGGAAAATAATGTTACCTAACTCCTTTCTAGGCTTGACCTCTTCCTAACATGCAGTGGCATCAATAACTCTTTCAGGGGTTTGCCTCAAATTCAAGATGTTACTTTATAAAGCCAGACTGTTTGCTGCAACACTTTTATATTATATAACCCTGTCCCTGCTAGAAATACAGCCTGAACATTGCAAGACCCCATAGGAACAGTTAGAAGCAAAGACCAATTTTCCATATAATAAAGTAGAAGAAAATAAATCAGGACATTTGATAAATTAGTGATAAATACCACTCCCTGTGAATCGCTCACTTGCGAAGAAACAAAAGGAACAATATCACTGGTGAATGACTATTAACTAATAAACCATTTTTAGAACTACCTCACAAGAATTTATATTTAGTTCCAACTCCCATATCCTACTCTAAATATAATTTTTATACTAGCTTCTATAGAGCATTTTCATAAAAGTTAATAAAAGGAGGAGGAGGGGGGAGAGACCTGCTCTGCTTCTCAGTATCCAGCATCCTCTGCAACTCCCTAACTCGACATTCAAACTGGGACTTCTCATCCCCTAGAACGTTTCTCCATGCTTCCCACTGACGCTCTTTCTCCAGGAGTTCATCATTCAGGGCCTCCAAGTCCATTACTTGCTCTTCCAGCATTGTACATGTTGTCTTCAAGGCCTCCATAGTCTAAAAATAAATCCTCCTATCAATTCTCACATCCCACATCAAGCGTGCACTTTAAGCTTCAGCCTTACCATTTAAATTACAGTACATGCAAATTGGCAGCAAACATAAGCTGGTAAATCACAACCCATTTATTTCAAGGCTTCCATACATTCACTTGTGATTGCCGTTAATGTCAGTTCCACCTCATCAGGAAAATGTCGAAATTTCCAGGGTCACAAAATTAAAATGAAGAATTCTAAGTTACAGAATCTTCAGAGCGCAAAATTTCTTTCAAAAATTGCATAAAAATGCAATGGGAAATACCAAAAAATTTCCATTCACTCAACTGCTCTGGGAAAGGAAGGATTAAACGATAAATGGTTTAAGCCCCTGGAAGCATATTCATTCCTTAGAAGTTTCCAGATTTAAAAGCATGTTGTGCCTTTCAGATCATCAGCTTGCTATCCCGAAGAGCCTGATCCAGACGTATAAAGCCTTACTTGTTTCTGACTGGTAAGCTGCATTTCTCTCTCGGTGATCTCCCGACGGAGATGGTCAACTTCACTTCGCAGCTGGACAACCTCATCACTGGCCCCAGTGGCCTCATCAAGTTGTTTGGACAGGAAGAAATTCTGGTTGTTCAGTTCTGCGTTGTCTTCACTGAGCTGGTTCAGCTGCTCCTCCAAATCCGTAATCACCTGGAAAGAAAAAGAAATTGAATTACATGGCAGTGAGTACAGGTTTTCTGAAAAAGTGTTTTCTCACAGAAGCATTTATTGCAAAGCAGGGATACAACCCAGCTTTTAAATCTTTTCAAATTTAAATAAAAGCAATAATGTAATGGTAGATTTTATGCATGAGTGTACTTCAATTAGGAACAGAGATTTGTTTCTTACAGAAAATAACTTTTTTTTTCTTTTTAGTATAAATATGCTGAAATGCAATTCAGAGAACTCTCACATCTAAAGCCCTGGATGTGGAGTCGGGCTCTGGTTGTATTCTTAGCTCTGCTGCTGACTTACAGTGTGCCTTTGCCAAAGCACTTTACCTTTTTTGCCTCGATTTCCCCTTAAGTGAAATGAGGCTAATACCTCCCACAGAGGCTTTTGAAGCACGACATTTAAGAAAACTGAACAAGAGGTGCAATGAAGGCAGTACAGTCTGACCTATCTGCCTCGCAATCATTTCTCTTACTGTATGTCACACTGGATGTAATCAGGAAAAGCAGAAAAAAATGTCAGAAATATATTCTATCAAAGTCAGAGCACGGAATCAATGAAGAAAGAAAAAAGTGCGGCAGCACAACAGACCAGCAGAAAATCAGTGAAAAGCAAAAATTCAGCAAGGACATTAGCCTTGCCTTTAATGAAGCAGAAGCATCCATTTGTTTAATCAGAATAGCATCCTATATGCTTTAAATCACATTCCCCCTCAGTTTAAAGGAAAATATGAACAACAGTGGGCCATTTTCACACTCTCATCTGATGTTTATGAATGAAAGGCCATGAACACTGGATGGATGAATACCTGCACCTCCTCCTAACTCAAAACCAACGTCATCACAACAGAAGAGAAAGGAACCTCAGTATAATCTTGAAATCAGCTCAATAAAAAGAATTTCAGGAACCGGAAAGCTCAATACAATTCTCAATCAACTCTTACAAATATGTTCTAGAGGCTTTTTTGCCTAGATGTCAAAGAAAAGTGAATAAGATACTTCATTAAATGGGGAAAATTAAAATCCCAGAGCACAGTTGGCCACACACTCAGATTTAAATGTTCCCATTTCCTACACAAGCCAAGAACTAAAATAACTAAAGCAGTAGAGCATAGAGCTTACAGCTCTCCTCAGCTATCTGGAAAGATGACAACCATTTCTTTTTGAAGGATCTGAAACGCATATATTGGCAGCCTTTTACCATGCCTCTGCTAGATCTAAATTAGCAGTATTTGAGTTTTAAACTGTCAGCAGAAAAAGTCCAACTGACATTACTCCCTGCTGGGTGAAGGGGACTTCCTGCTACCCATATGTTTAGGGTCAAGTCATCGTGATTCATCCTCTAAAACACATTTCTAATGAAAAAGTGAGCACGTGGTTGTCTCTTCAGCACTCTTACTGCCCTATTCAAAATACATTTTATTATGTCTTGCATGTGTCAAGTTTTCAAAGAACACACGCTGGATCATAAGGATGTGTTGGTGTCTACACTGCTGTAGGGATAAGAACTTACAAGTGTTTTTATATAAACAGAAAGGAACAAAAGAATATTTTCACAGTGGTTTACCTGCCATTCTTACAAGTAACATCTGAAATTTCTACTAACTGCCAGATAACAGAATCTCTCTTTTTCTTCTACTTATTTTTATTTCTGTTTAACCACACCACATATCTAGGCAGTTTTAAGATATGTGTATACATCCATGGTTTCTTCCACATGTATTTTATATATTAATACAAGTACTTTCTACAAAAATTATTAAACTAGTATTGAAATGCAAGAAAACAGAGATGGGAAAACCAAAACTGATACAGTGACATGGAGTTACCATGTCAAATTACTTCATTTCTTTAAACTGGCTGCATTTCAAGTTGATTTTATCCCTGAAGGGCTGAAAGTTAAGCTCCCATTCTCCTTCATTCTATGTTCTGAGATTTTTACATCTTTCCCCGAATATAACTAAAACTACACCAGACCACTTTAATTTCGATGTCACATTTTATCCAGTAGGCTCTTTCTGAAAAACTTAAGCCAAATAACAAGGCAGTTAGGAACGAAGGGCTCCAGAAGAGGTAACGTGATCTCCTGTCAGTCTGACCTCGGTGCCAGGGAAA